TTGAAACTGATTTCCTTTCCTCTTCCCCTCCCCTCCCCTCCCCTCCCCTCCCCTCCCCTTCCCTCCCCTCCCCTCCCCTCCCCTTTCCTTCTTTCTTTTTAATATGTTTTATTGATTTTGTACAGAGAGGAAGGGAGAGAGATAGAGAGTTAGAAACATCAATGAGAGAGAGTCATCGATCAGCTGCCTCTTGCACACCCCTACTGGGGATATATGCCCGCAACCAAGGTACATGCCCTTGACCGGAATCGAACACCGGTCCCTTCAGTTCCCAAGCCGACGCTCTATCCATTGAGCCAAACCGGTTTCAGCTGAAAATGATTTTCACTTGACTTTACTGAAGCCTTTCACTTAATTCTGGTTTGAATTAATTTATGACAAAGTCTATCTTATCCATCAACTCTTAACTTCAGAGGAGTTGCCTTCTCTTAAACCACTGTTTCATAGATTATAACCAAACCCAAATGCCATCTTCTTCTATCCATCTTAAAAATGTTCACAATGAATCATTTCAGTCAAAAGTGGTTGTTGGAGCTGCTAAAACCAAGGTAAACCACTCAAAATCTTTTCTTAATCAAATTTCTCAAGACCCGAGTGAAAGCTGATGAACAAAAGTAGCTACAGGATACTGCAAGCATTCCAATCAGACACCCAGATGTCTGACGTACAACTGCTCTGTGAGTGATGTGGACCTGCCCTGGTCCATAAGGAAAGCAGCTGGTGGCTCCTGTACCTCAAAAGTGGCTCTGCAATCATTATTTTTTATTGGTGAACAACATTTCTGGAAATGCTTCTCTTTTTGAATTTTATTTTATTTTCCCAAAGATTGCTGCAAATGGTACATTTTGTGAAAGGTTGACTGTACATATTTAAGAGACTCAGGAAAACTCGAGTTCTGAGCACATCCTGCTTCCAACCTTTTGCTTGTTTTCCAGTGAGAATGGATAGTGATCCATTTAAACTCTGGTGTGTGTGATTGAGGCGAGGATGCCTTGGAGGCGGGAATGCCAGGACTAGGGCTAACCAGACGGCAATCTTTGTGCCTGGCAGTCTGACATCACCACAAACTCTGCCAACATTCCTTTGGAAGCAGATGTTCTCAGAGGGGGAATGGTGATCGTTTATCCTCTTACATTTGTTCCGTAAATCCTGACGCGTAGGAAAGAACAAGATTTAGGTGATGGCTGCAGACGATTCACTAGGAACGTACCTTTACGGAATAAACATGATGATTTCACAATATTTCTCTCCCCCTCTCTCCCCGCATTTCTCATGTTTTAATCCAAACTCTCGCCAGAGACTTACAGTCGGGAAGGAGTCCTCACATATTTGCCCCCCACCACCACCCCTGCCCTGCGATAGCTCCTGGGCTAATCTGTGGGTAGTGATTTACAGATCCTAGTAATAGTTCCTAATCTCTGGGTCTAGCATCCAAACATAAACTTAAAGCCCTCTTCCTTGTGTTGGCACATTACCTCTTTCAGCCAGAAAAAAAGCATAATTCAAACATAAAACTCCAAAAGGGCCACGTTTGTTGATGACATAAAACAAGGAAAACTGTGGGTCCCACGTCAGCACTGTGGTTACCAGGGCCTTTGGTTACTATAATGTCAGCCAGCCAGTCAGCCTGTCAGCCAGTCGCTCAGGCAGTCTGTCCGTTAACCGGTCAGCCTGTCAGTCAGTCACTCAGGCAGTCTGTCCGTTAACCGGTCAGCCTGTCAGTCAGTCACTCAGGCAGTCTGTCCGTTAACCAGTCAGCCTGTCAGTCGGCCTGTCAGCCAGTCAGCTTGTCAGCCATCCAGTCACCCAGCCAGCAAGCCTGTCAGTCACTCAGGAAGTCTGTCAGCCAGCCATTCAGCCGGCCTGTCAGCTTGACAACCACCCAGTCAGCCTATCAGTCCCTCAGTCCGTTTGTCGGCCTGCCTGTCAGTCAGTCAGCCTAGCCTGTCAGTCATCATTCAGTCAGTCAGCCTGTGGGTCAGCCTGTGGGTCAGCCAGCCGGGTCCCCTCCCCACCCCGTTGTGGGCCGACCCAGCCCTGCCAGGGCGCCCCGCGCGGCCTCCGGCCCCCTTACCGATTGGACACTCCTGTGGTGACCTGAGGGGTCGCTGGGAACCGGAAAGGACGCTTCTTGCCGCGGGCACGTGAGCCGCTCTCACCTGGGGCCTCAGCCTGGGCCTCTCGCGAGATGGTGTCTCGCGAGACCACGCGGAGGCAGCGAGACCTCGAGGAGCAGCGCGGTTGGCTGTGGCTGAGGCTGGTGGGAGGGCCAAACACGTGGGCGGCCTCTGGTGTCTGAGTGAGGCATCGAGGGGAGGGGCGCCTCCTCTGGGAGAGGGGGCCCGCGCCGTGTCCGCCATGTCCGCGCTCCACGTCTCAGCTTTCCTGAGAACTTGTTTGAAATGCAGATCTTGGGCCTCATTCACTCCAGAGTCACTAAGTCAGAACTACAAGTTCAAGAAGCACTGCACCATCCTAGCTGAAATAGCATCCCTGGCTTGTCATTCGATCCCCTGAGGATCCAACTGGACCTAATCCTGGAGGACTAGGATTAAAGCTGGACTCCAGGCCAGAGCTTCTTCACAAGGCGCACACACATCCCCTGGGGGTCTTGATGCCATGCAGACTCTGATTTAGTAGGTTTGGTTTTGAGTCTGGGATCCTGCATTTGTCACTTGCTCCCAGGCGATGCTAGTGCTGTTGGTCCCTGGACCACATTTTGAGTAGCTAGAGACCAGTATTTCCTAAAACTTGTCAAACCGTAAATATCACTGAAGCACTTACTAAAAATACAGATTCCTTGGCTATACTCTAGAGCAGCGGTCGACAAACTCATCAGTCAACAGAGCCAAATATCAACAGGACAACGATTGAAATTTATTTGGAGAGCCAAAATTTTTAAGCTTAAACTTCTTCTAATGCCACTTCTTCAAAATAGACTCGCCCAGGCCATGGTATTTTGTGGAAGAGCCACACTCCAGGGGCCAAAGAGCCACGTGTGGCTTGCGAGCTGCAGTTTGCTGACCATGGCTTTAGACCTGCTACATCCGAATTTACCAATCCTCAGGTGTCTTTTGCAATTAGATAAAGTCGAGGAATACTAAGAGAGGGAGAGAAGAGCTAAATGTGCTCCATAAGGGATGACGGGATGAGGTACTGAGATGCAGCTAAAGGAAACTGACAGGCACCAATGGACACGTCCTTGTCTCTCACCCCCAAAGGAAAGGGGGATATGTGTTTCGTCTAGTGGTGATATCACGTCAGGATTTTCTCCTGTAATTGATGCAGAACCTCCCGGCTTCTCTCTCTGGGGCGTCTTGAGGGTTTACAGCAATTTTCATGGACTTCAGATCAACCCCAGACTCCATGAGCACAGACTGGCAGCCCCACTCCAAGTCTGAGGTGCCCAGAGTGCAATTCATGAAGTGCTGCAGCCAGACTCAGGCTCTGCTAATGGTTCTGTAAAGGAATTGGCTTCCTGATCAAAGAAAACACACAACACTCCATTGCATGGGAATCAGAGGTTCTCGGAGGAAAAATGAGAATGAAGGGAGTGGCTTCTTCGGACTCTTGTGTCTTGTTGCTGTCACCATATTGATGACCATGTCAGTGCTCATTCTCCTTTCTCACTAGCTCTAGCACAAACAAAACAAAAGCCACTAACGTACTTATCACCCACTGAACAAGTAAGCATGTAATATTTGCTAACTACCTGATTAGATGCTGCAAATTCAGAGGATCAAGAAAAGTAATATAAAGTGCAAATCTCATAACAATGTCTGATGTAAAGTAAGCTTATGTTAGCTATTAGCATTACAGACCCACCTCCATATTGATTGTAATAAGGTTTTCCATTAAAAAAAAATCATAGCTCCAAAGGTGAGATATTTTACCTGAGATGCTTAATACTCAATCAATAGGTCCTGCGTCACACAACAAGAAATGACTTGTCTTTTTCCTTTGAACAGACTGACTTCATGTTACTTTAGGAAAAGATTCATTGAAACAAAGGAATAACATATCCAAGATATAGTGTTTTTAAAAACATTTTTAATGAAGAAATAATTCCATTCCAAAATATAGACACACAATTAAATAGTTTAATCACTTCAAAATATAACATGTCCCCAGGAGGTTCCGACACACACACACCCACACACACACACACACACACACACACACAACAAAACAAAACAATACTTAACAGCAATACAAAAAACCCATACAATAGTAGTTTTGTTACAATACCAATGAATATCATGAAATCTTTAGGGTCTCTGTATTGGTTACTTCAAATGGAGTCAAGTTACAGTAGTCTTAATTAAAAATGTCTTACAGTTAATTAGTCTCAAGATATGACGTTTCTGATTTTATTTTTCTCTTTTTGGTTCAAAAGTAAAAATGCCCTTTCTTCTGAGGACACAGTGGAGTTCTTGTTTGTGGCTCCTTGCGTGGAATCGAACCAAGGTGATTGCAGCAACTAAAAGTTGCCATATTTACAATGTTTATCTACAGTGAACAGCCAAGAACTAATAAGGGTGGACAAAGATGATCAAAATAAAGGCGGACATCAGTGCTAAATTATGATGCAACCGTTTGGCTCATGCATATAAGAAAATACATAGTATATCACAACGAAGGCCACACTCTTATGCAATTAAGTTCACATTACTACTTACAAATGAACCTTCCCTGCCTTATCATCCGAGAATCCATTTTTCACAATCTCCAGCACATCTCCCTCTGACCAACCAAACGTACCCCGACTTCCGTCCTGACCAACCACAACTGATTCCTGAATCCCTTACAGTAGACTTCCCCTTTCCCCCTCCCTCCATGAACATGGCGCTGTAGGGGAGGGTGGCTGTGTTAGACCAGTGCTCATATAGACCATCATCTCTGATGGAGATGGATGTGTATTTCATGTGGAACAAGAAACACCCCTGCGAAATATAATTGTATCTGATGCACAGGACAGGTAAGACCTGCTGGGTTTGCTCTCAGAACAGGCCCCAGAAGTAAATCTGGAGAACCAAGGAGAGAAACCCACCAAAAACCACCAAAAACCAAAACAACACACGCCATTTTGTCTCGGTTACAGGACAGGGGTGCTTGAGTCTGGTCTCAGTGCTGACGCGGAGCTAAGAGAAAGAAAAGGTGGCTGGTTAGTCAGGAACTGGTCATGGGCAGCGGTTTGTAGAGTCCTCGCAATGGCTTTGTACAATGGGATCAACAACCGTGTGATGGAGTTGGCAATGAAAACTACGACAAAGGGGATGATTATCAGCAAGAGGGTTCAAACCCTAGACAAACATTCTCGTGTAGAAACACAAAGGACAACAGATGCCAGCTCAGTCCAGTCGGTGGCTGCCCGCCACTTGCGGGGTCACAGTTCAGAGTTCAAGAACTACCTGGCTGTGATTGAGAGCTGACAGCAATGCAGGTAGCTGGGATGGAGTGGTTTTAAGTACTGAATATGAGGCAGCAGGGACCATCTGCTCCATCTAGAGAGGTGCGGCTTCACAGGAGATGGGCAGTGGAGAGGAGATGAACGTGAAGAGGCATGGACAAAACCTGCCATGAAACCCACCTGTGCAAAGAAATCTGAGAACTGTGCAGTGTGCCACTTTGGTGTCAGCCTGGTTCTCTGGAAGGAGGTCTGATTACGCCCACCAATAGCTAGAACGGACTCCTTACTGACGTCACCCAAGAGCTTTACTAACCCCAAGGCAAGTGATGCTCTAAAGGGCAGCCAAGGATGCGGCTTCTGACCAAACGCAGGGATGGGGCCACCCCCAGGCTCTCTGGAGAGGGCGCAGGGAGATGGCAGAATGTCCGTTCTCAGCCAGGCACTCCCCACCCACCGGCTGTGTGGGGCGGGAGGAGGTTCCTGCCAGCTCGGGAAGCAAATCAAATTGCTGGAGCTTTAAGGCGGGCACAGAATAAGGCCTTTGCAGAGACTATTACACATCTTTATCCCACAGCAGTGGTTCTCAGCCTTGAGGGTGCATCAACGTGACCTGCGTGCTTCAGGAAACGCAGATCGCAGGGGCCCGACGCCCAAAGCTTCTGATTCATAGGCTTGGGTTCGGGCTCAAGAATTTGCATTTCTAAATAAACTTGCAGGTGATGCTGATGTGTTCCAGTCCAGGGAACACACTTTGAGAACCACTGTTCTAAAATGATGTTCTCGTCTTTCTTTGAAAGGAGGGCAGGAATTCCAGAGAGCTGCCGATGTAAGCACAATGGACCTAACCTATTGCAGGACTTTTAATTTCATCACATCTTGAAAAAGGTGGGTTATTTCCCCCCCAAATTTCCCAAGAATCCCTAAGGGAGGTTGTTAGTGCTCCTCCAAGGGGGTCCTCACAAAGGACCATCGACAGTTTTTTCGTTCTCCCTTCTTTGACGGCTCTTTTGCACACCAGCTCTTCCCTGAGTGCAAAACCCCATTGCCACGGAGAAGAGCCTGCTTCCTTTCACATGACCACAGAAGGCTGCATGCAGAACACCGGGGCGCCAGCGAAGGCAATACACATTCAGAAAGGAAAGGAGCGAACGTTTTTGCAAGCGCACTTGAAGCCTGTACAGTGAGAGGGGAAGGCCTCCGGACAACCTGATGTGGGGGGACCTGTGGGCGAGCGGTGCGGTGAGACATGCTCCCTAAAGCTAAACCGAGAGGAAGGAACAAGCCATGGAAGAGCAGAGACCACTGTGGTCCGGGTGGGGGTCGTATGGCACCTGTGGTTTATAGACAGCTTTAGTAACGAGTATTTTCAAAACATAGTTCACAGTTTTAAGAAGATCTGTGCTGAGTTTTAAAAACTAGATTCTATATAATTTGCACGTTGTCTTATTTTGAATATGATCTCTATTTGGAAAAAAAAATTATTTACACTAAATTCTATGGCTGATTCGCTAGAACATCTTGAAAGAAAACAACCTCCAGTCGGAAAGAAGCCCCAAAGACTGGGCTAACCTGGCGTGTTTGGCTCCAGGCACCGCTCACAGGACGGGGAGGCCTGGGCAGACAGGGCAGGCCAGGCCCTCCACGCCTGCTCACTCAGGACCCGAGACCTTCAGGGTCAACGAATAATTGCGAGCGGTTGTTTTGTCCCAATTACTGTGGGGGGAAAAATGTACATCGTATAATAAACTGGTTTGCTAAAATCTCAAAGAACTCAGAAATCAAACCCTAGCTACAAACAGTATTAATAGTGTCACTGTAAACGGAACAGGTTCAGTATCATGTGCACATGATATTGAAGATGCTTGTTAATACTGCCACCGTGAGGAACAGCAGCGTGGGTATTCGGCCTGTGGTTCTTTTTTTTTTTTTTTTTTTTTTTAACCAGGGATGAGCCATGTTATAGAAGATGTAGCTGATAAATTAGCTTTGAACAGAGTCTTTTTTTTTTTCTTTTTTCTTCTTAACACACACACACCTATGAACTACACATCTGAGGACGAAACATGAGCTGCACTACAGTCAGCAGAGCACGTCTTTGGGGGCGGGTGTGCGGGGGCTGCTGGTGGGGCGGTTCCTCTCCCAGGCGCTGCCAGGCCGCTTCTCCTCTGGGTGGGTGGTGGGTGCAGCGCTCCCCTTCATCACCAGCGCTCATGTTACTCTCATCATCTGTCTGACTATAGTTTGCCTGGGAATAAGGAATGTGTAATTTTTTTAAAGATGAAAACTGTTCTCATAAGTCAGGAAGCTTAGGGCCCTCCTTTCCCCTGAGACACAACACACACACACACACACACACACACATACACACACACACACACACACACACACCCTCTACTCCCTTCCTCTGATAACCAGGGATGAATGTCCCAGGTAGTGTGTGCCATGAGTTGTGCCTTCTGGAAGAGGACAAGAACCCTCCTGGTGAGTCCCTTGCTTGGGGGGCACCTGCTGCACCTGGGGGTTAGAGCCACCCACCGTTGTCCTTTGGACAAGGAGGTGAGAGCACTGACTCGCCAGCAGAATGCTCCACTCAAAAAAAAAAAAAAAATCCACTTTTGATCTTCAAACCCCCGATTTCTGAAGCTAGGCTCTGGCTGGCTGAGTGCGATGCCATGGGGCCAGAGGGACAAGCCAAGGTCTGAGTGGGTCCCCTGGAGCCGTGGTGCACTCCGTGTGGGGTGCGAACCCTCGCATATACATCTCTTCCCAAGTGGCCGGTTGAAAAGCAGTCACCCAGGTGTTCTGGCTTTTTGTGTTGATAAGTGCATGTTCATCTTCAAACAGGCCTCAGGCTCCTTTTGAGCAGAAGACTGGGTTTCCCCTGCTTTTGGAGTCCTGCCTTGTGGCCTTTCCCGACGTAAGGCCTGGTCAGGGGCAGCCGAATGAACTTGGAGCTGATAAAGTCGGCTGCCTTTAGGACCCTTGGGTCAGCGGTGTCTATACTTTGGTATGATTTCTGGCCTTGCAGTACAGCCAGGAAGTCAAATAGATTTAAATACCACAAGCTGCTTTAGAATCCCAGCTGTCTTTCTAGGCTACGTGCAGACAGACTGCAGGGTTCCGTCAGGTTGTACGTGAGTCTTGCCTAAGGGGTTGATTTACTGACAGGCCGGCTCCTGCTTAGAGCCCTGTGAATGCCATCCAGGTAGGCACAGGATGCCTTCGGTGGCAGAGGCCACAGCTGTGCGATTTGTTTTTCCTGCCAAGTTTGTGGCAGAGATAAAACATTGCCCAAGAACTTCCCACGTACTGAAGTATTTGGCTTTTAGGTACGAGAACCAAATGTCACTTTTTATCTGGGTTCACATCAAGGACAATTCGCTAGGCTTTTAAAAAGATATATTTTTCTAAGAAGGCACTACTGATGTTTAAATAACACGCAGAACAAAAATAATCAAATTGCCAGAGCTAAGTGAGGGAGACTGCTATTAAAGGAAAAAGCTTGCTCCTTTGGGACTAGCTTTGTTCAAACCGGAGCGAATATTTTCAGGAACCACTCCTGAGATTTTTTTTCACTGTAGTTGTACATGTATTAGGAGAGCAGAAGGCAATGAGGTCAATATATTCCATTGTAGCAATTATGCCATGATTTTTACTTGCTCTATCTTAGGATTGAGACAGGAGGTGTGTGGTGTGTGAGCTAGAATGTACTCTTTACTAATTGATGTCATTTCACAACTTAGCAGCCAAAATTTACTATCAGCTACACTCCAGATTCACGGGATCCCATGGTTGGAAAAGACTGTGTAACAGTAGGAGATAGGAGTCCTCGGGCCAGTGCAGCCAGATAACCTCGAGAGGGATTCGCTTTGATCTGTAATGAGGGGCATCTAAGTGGTCACTGGCTGGAGCCGGAGAAACCATTTAGATGTGTGGGACTGTGGAGCTGAGGGTGTATGGAATCATTGCACACAGCTGAGCCCCAGCCTTGTTTATAAAACGTAGAGGGAACAAGCTGCTTCTGAGTCCCAGGGGTTCCCGCACACCCACATCATCGCTACAGCAGCTCCCATGAATGGCTTCTAAGGCTCTGAGCACAGGGCCAGGCCCGTAGGCTTGTGTCCATCAACGTTATAGCATGCTCGCCACCGGTAAGATCTGTAAGAACTGGACCTCAGTGAGGGAGTGTCCTCTACAGTGTAGGTATTACCATGCATGTTGTGCAGAGGGAGTGGAGGCTCACAGAGGTCCCCTAATGTGTCTGAGGTTGTGCTGCTAGCATTTGCTGCAGCTCCCACTTGAACATGGGTAGATTAGAGTCCAGAGCCCAAGCTTCAGACCACCACCCTCCAGTGGGGCCACCAGTCAAGTGCTGCTCTCTCTCCATTAAACATCCCCTGAGGATTTCCCACGTATGCAGGCAGGTGGGCAGGCCCTTGGGGGAAAGGGCCACGTGCCATATCAGTGACTGCACCCTCCTGAATTCCACAAAGGGTTTGAACCAGCTATTCCAAACGTAAAAGCCTGCAGATGTTTTCCTCTGTGTTTTGCTGCTTTTATTTTATTTTTATTTTTGCCTTTGTTTTGGTTTTGCTTTCCCCTGTCTCTCTGCTGGGCCCCGAGGACAGCCAAGTCCAAGGAGCTGATCCATCTCTGGAAGTGCTGAGCGAGCCTGGACCGTTGCGTCTCAAGTGATGGAGAGGCTCAGACTCAGGTGCTCTTATGGACTGTGATGTGGCTATGTGGCCACGGAAAACTTTTGGGGGGGGTGTTATCTGGCATTGGAGAAGTTTCTGTGCCATTTCCCCTAATGAACAGAGTTAAAAAGTCGTCTCTCAAGATCTTTGGCCAAATCTCCCCGCAGTGTAGTGGGATGCCCCATAGACTGGACTGGTTCTTGGACAAAAGCAGGGAAGGAGGATATTTTCTCACAGAGAAACGCCCAAGAGAGGGTGATTGTGAACTTAGGTTGCAAGTTATGAGAATTGAGTGTACAGTGGCCACACTTCCTCCTAAACGAGAGTGTACTTACTTGAGAGGAGAGTGATAAAAGGATATTGTATTCAACCTTGCAAGCTGACCTGCGGGTGACAAAGGACACAAACAAGAAAGGTGACATGTCAAGTCTGTGATGCAGTCAAGCAGGTGAATTATTTTGTTGGAAGCCATGCACAAAGTCAGAGAAAGAGAGAGAGAGTGCAGTGAATGACAGCAGTGTCTGAGCCACCAAACAACCATAATCTGTGAACATGAGCTCACAGAGCCGTCAAGGAAAACCACCACAGCGTTCTCCAGGGCACATGTCCTGAGTGCGGACACACGGCCTGTTAGAATATCCTGGCCCCTTTTGTTGCCTTTCCCTTGAAGTTGTCAGACATGGAAAGGAAAGGAGAGAGAGGAGCTTAAGATTGACCAGAGATGGCAAAAGCTCCAACTGGATCTTAAGCATGAACAGAATTTCCTTTCGTCTTACTCAGACACCATTAAATTCCTAATTCATTAAAACAACAACAACAAAAATCTAGTTAGTTATATGGAATGGCTGCCTCCCTTTAAAATAAAACCTAGAGCCCAGCCAGCATGGCTCAGTGGTTGAGTGTCAACCTATGAACCAGGAGGTCATGGTTCGATTCCAGGTCAGGGCACGTGCTCAGGTTGCAGGCTCGATCCCCAGTAGGGGGCATGCAGGAGGCAGGTAATGGATGATTCGCTTTCATCATTAATGTTTCTCTCTCTCTCTCACTCCCTTCCTCTCTGAAATCAATAATAAATAAATAAATAGATAGATAGATAGATAAATAGACAAATAGATAAATAAATAGATAAAATAAATTAAAACCTAGAAATTTGGTTACTGTTGCCACCCAAATCCTGGCACTGATATGAGCTCCAAGATGGGAGGCCTACCAGGCGCCTCTAACCAGAGTATTGATGACTTAGCATGAACCAGAGTATTGATAATTTCACTGTATCTCTCTTCCCCTCTAGGCAGGAGCATCAAACAAGCTTTGTGCGAGCATCCCTCACATTCCCAGACCCACCCTAGCAGCTTCGCCCAGGCTGACTTCCTCCTGTGCATGGGCCATGGAAACCCAAAGAAAGAGCCTTCTTCGTGGGTCTGGACTGCAGGCGGCTTTGTGTCTGCAGCGCTGTAGCACGGCATTACATATCTAGTCATGGGTTTGGCTATTTTGTGTGTAACAAGACCCACATGCTACTCGCTCCTGAAATGTGGGCGAATGGTACATCCCAAAGAGGTCACACCTTTGCTGCTTCCTGGTGTTGGGGGTGGGGGTGGGGGCAAGGCAAGTGCTCCAGTTGTCCTTTTGGAAACATATTTCAAAACTTAATCTATAAACATACGGGAAATAGAAGACACTTTGTTCTCTCTGCTACTCTTTTCCCTAACAGGAGAGCCTCTGCTGACCTAAGAACATGGAGAAAGTTCTCTGGCCATTGGACAGAAAGCCTGACAGTGAAATAACCAGCTGGGGCCCGGGGAGCAGTGGGTCTGTTAGGCAAACACCCTTGGGTCCCCTGAACCCCAAGAAAACAGGGTGGACTACAGGGAAAGGGAACAGACCAGGAAGACCAACATGGTCTGGCGCAGACTCTGTGGGGAGAACACATGAGTTACATTTGGTGAATTCTCAGTGGATGAATGCAGTCCAGTATATACGACAATCTGTCCATCCACACTCGGGATTCTGGGGCCTGCAGCCTCCCCCACTCCCTAACATTCCTGGGTGAGGTTTGTCGCTTGCTTATTACTTACATTTCCCATGAGGTAGGTGGTGAGGGAGACTGAGGACAATGAGGAGATACATTTATGCTTATTCAGTTGCCTTGTGCCTTGATCTCTGTATCTCTTTCCCATTGCAGAGAACAAGCATCTCTGCTGATGACCCAGGAGGGGGATGGACTGTTAGTCACTGGGTTTCTGCTGTGTGACAAGACCCCCCCGCCCTTCACTTTCCAGACCAGAAGTTATCACACAGGGTGAGTGATGGCTACAAGAAGTAGCTGGAATCTTTAGTGTCTAGAATACACAGACTAAGAATATTCCAGAAAGGTAGGGTGGGAGGAGGGAGAAGGCACTGGTTTTTCCTAGTTATGTAAAAGACCCAGTTACCTAGGGGCTGGGCGGAAATGGGGGGTGGTGTGGGCCCGGCCCCGGTACCTGGTAGGCCTCGTCCTGCAGCTTCTGCTTCAGGTACTCCTCCATCTTGAGTTCGTTCTCCAGCTGCCGGACCGACTCATTCTCGTAGTGCTCCTCCTCAGGCCGCACATAGGGATCTCCATCTTCTGTGACCCTGGGAACGAGCCACAGATGGGGTTTTGGAGCAAATCTTAAAAAGGGAAGTCTAAGTGAAATTCATGTGTGAGCTGTAGTTTCGGTGGAACATTTTATTTGTCTTCCAATTCACTTCAATTCAGTGTGTTCTGTTATGGAACACAAAACTTAAAAAACAAACAAACCACACACACCTTTGGAAATATAGGAAAATATATGGTCAAGGCATTCTCATGCAGTTCTCCTATCGCACTCTGGTGATCACCGGTCATCCATGTTTTTCTAGGGTTTACAGGAATGAGATGCCCTTTGGATGGTTGTCAGTCTTAGAAAAGACAGGCTTATCTTTCAGGAGGATATGATTTTCCCAATATGGGGATTAAAAAAAATATTATAAGTGGAATCCAAGAATGCTTTCTCTAAGGAGAGTGAGCCCTCTAGTGAAATAAAGAATGAGGACATTTGTTTCTAATTTAACCGCCTCTGTGTTCCACACGCGTGTGGGTGTGTACGCCCATGTGCTTTATTTCCATAGTGGGATCAAGTCTCAGAATATCAACCAATCATTGTCAGCAAGCATAACACTCTAACCTACAGCGCTTGATCTCAAAGATGTATACCAGCTCTATATCTAAGAAATCCACTTACATTGTCCAATTTCACTGTGAAATAGATAAGCATGACCTCATTCACCAATGTGTAACTATCTCCATCTATTCAAACCCCTCCCCCCACCCCCCAAAAATATAAAGCTCTAAGAACAAAAATTTACTCCCTAAATTATATGACTAAAATATTCTCAGGGTAAAACACAGTACAGGTTTAGATAGTGCAGATATTAAAACACCCCCTACAATGAAGAGTGCTCAAGGAGAAGTTTCTGGATGGGAATTTAAATGCCATGGCTAGTGTTTATTTATATCTGTATGGCATGTTCTCATTATTTTTAGAGGTTTGGGTCCAGCATGAACAGGTCTGTGAGGCCTCTGTGAGCTTTCTCTCCCCGACTCCTGTGGCTGGAACCGCCACAAGCATCCATGTAGAGTGGCTTTAGCTCCAGTCTTGGATCTTAGGATCAAAATGAGAACAATTTAAGTAGCTACCTTGTAAAAGCTTAATCATAGAAAGTCACATGGGTATGTGTTTACTAACTAGACTAAAACTGATGCTAACGACGTCACCATTTGGAATAACAATTCTAAAGGACAGAGGAAAGGACAAGAGAGCAAACTGAAATTATTAAAGCAGCCCTGTTAAATGATGTTATAGCGGATTTGTTCTGCTCTCACGCTCGGCCTTTCCGCTCCTGGCTTCCCCAGCACGTCTATTTATAATTCCCCATCGTGACTGGTCTTCCACTCCCTGCTTGGATCAGGAGCCAAAAACACCAGGAAGGCCTCTGCTCAGTTCCTTCTTTGGGTCTTTAAACAGCCGTTGATTTTTGTAGATGAGTCTGCAGTACCTTTCACCCAATACACCATCACCTTCTGGAGCTGTTTGGAATGGCGAGCAATTCCCCTTTCTGTCTTTGTGTGAACCTCTGCCCACGTTTATCACAAGCCCGGGAACCCCGCTCTCCTAGAGGCTCCTCCTCTTCCCTGCCTTTGTTTCCCTCTTTCCCCTCCCACACTGGGCTCTGCAGCTTTGGCCTGTGTCACCCTTGTTTCTCAGCTTCACCGAAAGTCTAGTGGGGACGTCACTGACTCTGCTCGCTTCTGTCAGGGCACAGAAGCCTAAATGTGTGAAAACCTTTGCAAAATATCTTTTGAGGGTCAGATTTGTACATGTTCAACAAGTCAGCCACATTGTATTATAATGAGGTTTTATACATTTACAGTCTCATGCCATATAATGAAGCTTTGGTCAAGGAACTACCATATATATGATACAAGGATCCACCATTTATATGATACATGACGGTGGTCCCATCTATATATATAAAAGTCTAAGTGACCATTATGACCAGTTGACCAAATGACCAGTTGCTATGATGCACACTGGCCATGAGGGGGCAGATGCTCAAAGCAGGTGCTGCCCCTGGTAGTCAGTGCGCTCCCACAGCCAACCTCATGTAGTTGGCCAACTTCCCGTGGGCCCTCCCCCAAATTGGCTGGCCCTGATTGGCCCTGTTCAGGCCTGATTGCCGGCCAGGCGGAGGGACTACCTGTGCTTGAATTCGTGCCCTGGGCCTCTAATGAGATTATAATAGAGCTGAAAAATTTTTATTGCATCCTGACATCATTGTTGTCATGTGTTTGTGGTGATGCTGGTATAAGCTCTGCCAGTTGTATGAAAGTACAGCACATATAGTTATGTACAATACATTATACTTGATAATGATAATACATGACTGTGTTACCAATTTATATATTTACTATTTGTTGTAGTGTTATTTTCTACTTATAAGAAGTTTTCTGGGAAACAGTATGCTGTGCTATGGCGGCAGTACCCCTAGCATCTTTCTTACTTTGTCTCCCAATTGCATCAATATCTCTTGTGCTTGATTTAACCTGATGTTGTTTTCTACAGCAACACCCCGTAGAGCAGTGGTTCTCAACCTTTCTAAAGCCTCGACCCTTTAATACAGTTCCTCATGTTGTGGTGACCCCCAACCATAAAATTATTTTTGTTGATACTTCATAACTGTAATTTTGCTACTGTTATGAGTCATAATATAAATATCTGTGTTTTCCGATGGTCTTAGGCTCTACAGCAGCAGTTCTCGACCTTTCTGATGCCACGACCCACAGTTTGAGAACTGCTAGCAGGGTCACCATGAGGAACTGTATTAAAGGGTCACGGCATTAGAAAGGTTGAAAACTATTGCTGTAGAGGCTTGGGGCCTGGGAGTAATCAGCTGTACCATGGAGCCTGAGTGTGCAGTAGGCTGGGTCACCTAGGTTTGTGTAAGCGCACTTTATGGTGTTTGTATAATGACTAAGTCGCTTAACAATGCCTCTCTCAGAACATATCCCTGTTATTAAGTGATGCATGACTGTATATATCTCGATTCCTAGTGCTTATATGATACTGTTCATCCCATTCTGAACAGAAGCCTCCAGCATTACTGGGTCCTCCAAGTGCAAAGTCAGAAGATTCTGAAGATAAGATGACTAACCTCCTAACTGGTCTGTGAGCCCTGGAAGGTTGGGAGTGATTTAAAAAAAAAATACTAGTTTGTATCAAACCAGCACAGTCCCTGGGGGAGCCAGGCTCTCAATCAGCACCGGTTACTGATACTCTCTGGAAATTGTGAGGGGGGAAGTCACAAGGCCACATTCAAATGTAGCCCCTTTACCACTTCTGTCAGAAAAGGAAGCAGCATCATCTCTTCTCAAAATAAAAAATGAAACAACCATGTTTTCATTTTCCTTTGCTCCCGACAGTGTCCTGGTACTGAGACTATACCCCTGAACAGGAGGTACTCACACATCGCTGCGCATGGTGCTTGGGGCAGCTCCGCCGTGCATGTACCCGGGTTTCCGGGCGTGGATTTGCGCTAGAAAAGCCTTTTCCGAGGTTGGCGATGGGACCAGGTCCTCAAACTGAGTCCTCGCAAACTCAGAATCCACAGTACTCTCCGTTTCACTCCCCACCTCTATGAGGTACAATTGAAGAAACAGAGAGTAACTTGTTAGAGTCTTTGTGATCAGCAGGTACAGGGTGAGGCTTAACATAAACCAACCTGCGCTGCATAAAGTATTAACCAGTTATTGTATGTAAGTCAAGTAAGTGTTTATTTCAATTCCAACTGAGCATGGAAACTGAACATGAGTTACTGTAAAAGCATTTGGTATACAGCAATATATATATATATATATATATATATATATATATATATATATATATATATATATAATATCGGTAATGCTATAAGGAATCTTTAGTGTCTTACTAAATTACAACTTCTGTTCTGCTCCTTTATAGTCTTCAGGAAACTACTACCTTTGCTTAATGTTACTTTAGTGTAGGAAATACAAACCCAAAGTATTACATTCACTTAATCTTTCAGAGCATTACCTATAATATTATAATAAAAGCATAATATGCTAATTAGACCGGACGACCTTCCAGACGAAGCTGGGGCTGTGTGGGAAGCCCAGGTCCCAGGTATTTGCCGGTGCCAGAGGGATCTGGTGTCGGCAGCCAGGGGAAGGAGGGCCTACTCCTGCACGAATTTTGTGCATCGGGCCTCTAGTAAGAATATAAACTAATAGTACTTGAGACCTCTACAATAAGAATAACATTGTTAGCAATCTCCACGATATATTAATGACTGCCAACTTCATCCTATTTGGTAATCTTAATCTAAAATAGCAGCAACAATTTTCATTACTTAAATTCTTATTATAGAGATTTTAAGAAGTTTAAATCCCAATTTTTTTAATATTGAAGTTTTATTTCTTGTAGTTGTTGTAATCTCAACTACATGACAGTCAAATATCTTGCTATGTGTGCTTCGAGGAACAGATGAGATGCATTAGTAACTGGTAGGATAATTATTAGAATATTCATTGTTTGCATAACATTTTTAAAGCTCTGTGTAGCATTATGAGGATAAAGAGCCTCCCACAATTTTCTGCTATTTATACTCTGGGCAGATATATCTTGAGAGATACTGCAAAGGGAAATTTCAGATTAGACCCATCCAAATAGCCATTCATTTCCAATGAACAGAGTCTAGATTAGTAAATAAAACATTTGGACCTTATGCAATCACTTCCGTGTCTTGTCACATTGCATCATGAGAGATGTTCACAGTGACTCTCTTTGGCTTCTTGAATTATAAGTCCATTTAAATATTTTTTTTCATATATTCTTTCCTACACTGTTAAACTTTCTGCATGAAGCATGTATTAATAATCTGCTGGTCAGCAGCTATAAACATCAGTTAAAAACCTGAATATGGCAACCAAACATCACATAGATCTTCCAGAAAATCTTTTTATATTGGACAGTGAGCAGGTCTCTACCAGGAGCCCTGAGAACGTTCGGGCTCCTCTGCAGAGCAGACAAATGAGGGGACCAAGGACACACCGGAGTTCAGCTCTTTCACGAGGGAGGACATGGTGTTAGTGATGGAGTCCGCGGCCACTAGCAAGTCATTCCTTAAGTTTCTTCTTGAACCTTAAGTGAAGAAGAAATGACAACAAATAAATAAAAAAATATATCAAAGCGTTTCCTTTCCCCCAAATTTCAGGCTGCTTATCATTGCCAAGGCCATTCCCAAGCAAGAGAAGTCCCAAGATGTCTCCTTTACAGACGCACTTTGGTTCATTTCCTGGGAAGAAGGACCTGTGCTTGGGGCAGTGGTCTCTGGTGAAGGAACACATGGCAACCGATGGGGGTTCATATCATGTATTGTCCAAACTGGGACAATTCTGCAAGTGAATGAGGGAGGTCTGAATAATAAGATGGGGTGACCCAGCACCCATGGGGATGGTCCCAGGCAAACCAGTGTGTGTGATGGTCCTTCGAAGAACAACCCACACAGAGGAACGGCCAGCTTCTGCCAGGAGAGCCACACCTTCCCAGCCGCTCCGACCATTTCAGCCACTACCTGGTGGCTGAGCCCACCAGATTCTATCTCTCTCACCACAGCCCTTGTGTCCAATCAGGCTTCTCTGAGCTCCCCTACCCCTTCCAGGTATCTCGTGGGAATGGGAACCCTCTGTACTGAATGCCACAGAGCCGTGGTCGGCAAACTGTGGCTCGAGAGCCACATGCGGCTCTTTGGCCCCTTGAGTGTGGCTCTTCCACAAAATATCATGGCCTGGGCGAGTCCATTTTGAAGAAGTGGCATTAGAAGAAGTTTAAGTTTAAAAAATTTGGCTCGCCAAAGAAATTTTAATCGTTGCACTGTTGATATTTGGCTCTGTGGACTAATGAGTTTGCCAACCACTGCCTCACAGCATGGAAAAGCGAGTTGTTTCTTGCTCTGGCTGCAAGGAATGTGCACAAGATGTATGTCCGGTACCTTGAACTGGAACTTAGTTCTTGTTTCTTCATGGGAGAGAGATATTAGCATGATGTTCCAAGCACGCTAAGGGTTAGAGGGGTCTCGGTGGGCTGGCCTGGGGACCAGGCAGGGTTGAGAGGAAGCAGAGGGCTGATCGCCATAATCTTTGGCAAAAAGGGACCAAGATTCCAAATATCTGACTTACCGATGAATGTATGTAGCACAAGCTCTTTGTGAGCTTGGCCACACTTCCTCCTGTCACTTCTCAGAAAGTACAACTAAATTAGTGGAAGGATAGATACATGAAAATTAAAAAAAATCAAAGTAGTTACACGAAACAGTAATCCTAATAGGAAGCTCAAACTGATTTAAAATTTCCTTAAAGTAAGATTTAGGGAAAGGACATTTTTCCTTCTGAAAATTAAAATAAAACCTAGTTACTGTGTATAACTTAAATTATTATTTTTTTTTTTCAGGAGAAAAAGCCCTAGTAGGGGTTTTCCCTTTTCCCTCATAAGAGAGAAGGCAGCATTCTTCCCCTTGTAAAAGGTAAGACTGTTTTCTCCATTCACAATGGGTGAGAGGAACTGTTTCCTCACACGTTTCTATATCTGGATATTACTGGTTTTTAAAACATGTTTTCATGCTGTTATTGACCATTTATAATTTCTCTCTGTTTATACCCTTCACCTATTTTTATTTTGGCAATGTCTTCTTCTTACTGATCTCTATGTGCTTTACATCTAACGGAAATGATGAAACTTAGCTGCCATATATGTTGGAAATGGTTTACTCAAAACTATTTTGTTTTTGATCTTTTGACTTTTTGCCTTTGGATAAATTCCCAGAAGTGATATCGCTGTTTTTCTTGACCTCAGAACCATAGGTAAGAACCCGGAAGAATGCCATGGTAAATTGGTAATTTAAAGAAAATGCAAATTATGAACCAAAATAAGCATGAGTTTCTTTGTGTGAAAAATAGTGTCTATAAAATGCACTTAAACATATCTATCTATCTATCTATCTATCTATCTATCTATCTATCTATCATCATCATCTCTCTATCTGTAAGTGAAAAGTTGAGAAGGACCAGACTGTTAATGGTGTTCACTTCTAGGAATGAGATCAGCAGGGTGAGAGTCTGCAGGAGGATTCTCTTATCCTCTAATCCCTAATCCCTCCCCACCCCAATTTTTTCCAAATTTAAAAAGTAACGGCAAGAAAAGTTTTAAAAATTGTTAAAATAGTTTCAAATGAGTAAAATTATTTGCCTTGGGATTCGTCCACTCTCCCCTCCCCTTTCTCAACCATGAGTGTGTAACTGGAAGAGGCCACCAGTGAGAGAATGCTGTTTGCCATCTCCCTTCAGCTTTGCGTTCCTCTATTAACTACAGAGGCCTAACGGGGTAGCCCCTCATTGTAGAGGCAGATCCAGCTCTTAAGGGCATCTGTAGAACGACTACCCTTCCTTCCGATCACAGGCTAAAGAGCTGAATTGTTTCATCTTAATCTCGAGTTTACTTTCCTGCAGAGAAGCAGAAAAGGAGATCTTTCAGAATTTAAAACACGGATTCCATGGAGAGTTTCCTGAGATATTTGTGAAAGGGCTTCCCTTCCCTTAACGGGCAAAAACACATAAAAAATGGGGCCGATAGGTAAGATGGTGAGGTGCGGAACAGATTAGCCAGGAGTTTCTAAAATAGCCAGGCTCTGCCAGAGGCCACGGAATAGCCTACAACAGTGGTTGGCAAACTCATTAGTCACCAGAGCCAAATAACAACAATACGATTGAAATTTCTTTTGAGAGCCAAATTTTTTAAACTTAAACTATATAGGTCGGTGCATTGTTATTAACTTAATTAGGGTACTCCTAAGCTGGCCTTTGCTAAAAACTCAAGGGGCCAAAGAGCTGCATGTGGCTCGCGAGCCGCGGTTTGCTGACCTCGGGCCTAGAACATACCCAGCTTTAGACCATTCAGAGGACTTCGGTGACTTGTCTGTCACATCAAAGCAGAACACAACGAAAAATAAAGCCACTTACTTTGTGCAAACGCCTCCTGCACGTCTCCCCCTACCCCTGTGAGGGAGTCCTGAGGCGTGTGGGCCGGGGTGGAGCAGGTGGACGCGGACCGCACGGGCATGGGGATGGGCCTGCTGATGGTGTGGCTGGGGGAGGAGCGAGGAGAGCCTGCCCCCTGGGTCTGGAGAGACAAGGCGAGCCGTTAATGTGCTTTCCTGAGAACACCCCAAACGCCACCCATCCCCAGGGCCTCAGTCAAATGTTAAAAACAGTCACAGTGACATTTCAAAGCTGCAGGAAATCCGAGGTCGTTGAGATGGGTATCCTAAACCTGATTGCAGGTGCAGGAAATGGAGGACCTTATTGCATTCTCTGAGTTTCTGGTTGTATCTGGAAAGCTAAGAACACCAGGAGAGCACCATCCCCGGGGAATGAAGCTACTGTTAAGCATCGGAAATGACAGGGCATGCCTATTGTTTTTCCTTGAAGGAAGTACTACATGGAATGAAGACTCCTAAGGAGAAAGTTGTAAGTAAAAACTCGGAGACTTTTGGGGGCTGAGTCTGGTTTGTACTTCTTAGATTTTCAACCTGTCTGTCCTGGCCTCATCTGTCCAGGATAATGTAGAGTTAAGTCACGCATGCAACATGGTGCATATTAAGCCTCATAGTAAGCATCAGACAAGCATATTTTAAAATCCTGATTTTACAGGAAAAGTTGACTTCATCAAACTGCTCAGTGGTTTGGAGGTTCCAGTGGGGAAGAGGAGAAAAAGCAGTCTGAGTCTCTAACTCGGGGCTGCTGTTTCCCTGTCTGACATGTCTCTCTCTGGGTCTAAACAGCAGCAGTATTCCAGCAGGAAGAATAGGAAGATTTAGGATGAGTGAAGAAAGAAGTAGAAAACAACAAAAAACCATGGATCTCTGCACCCCAGTCCTCAGCAGGAAACCATTATGAGACAGTCACACCTCGAATCTCCAAGCTTTTGTCTCAATAGTGAGGTCTCTTTAAATTTAATTACTCTACAAAGTAAGTCAGTCACTGGGTGGGGGCAAAGGAGAGATATCAACCAAAGGACTTGTGTGCATGCATATAAGCCTAACCAGTGGTCATGGACAACAAGGGGGTGGGCATACATAGGGAGAGGTTTGGGATGGGAATGGGGGGATAAGGACAATTATGTGACACCATAACCAATAAAGAAATTAAAAAAAAAAAACCACACACACACAAAAAACCAAATGTGAGCAAATAAAGTCCAATCTGTTTCAAATCCACTACCTGGCATGCAGAGTCTGTCTATTAAAACATTGTGTAATAACTTTAAAAAAAAATGCAAGGAGACCCTCGGGGCATACACAGCGGATTAGGAGTTCCCACACATTCCAGTTCAGCCTGGGGGTCCGGTTGGTGGGGAGAGTGAGGGCTCTGCCACGCACGGCCCAGAGGTTCACCACCAACTCATCCAAACCCCGAGGCGTGCACCTCGAGAGCAGTGCTCTGGAATATTCCATTAGATCTGTGCTGTGGGTTCAGCCTCTTGCAGTTACAACACACAACATCGGCCCTGTACAATGCCATGCTGTTAGCTTTCCAGGGCTCAGCGCCACACACACAAGTCAAATCTGCACATGGAGAACAACCTGGAATTACAAAACGCAGCACAACAGCACAGAGGACAGGAGAGAAAGCATGAGACGCCCCACGGGCCGAGGACGCCACGGGCTCCCTCTCCGCCGTACCTGGGATGGTCTGTCCGGGCCCAAGGACGAGGCATTTGCCGGTGTGCGATGCTTGGCAGCCTGCGGGCCCCAGCAAACTTGGCAGCCCAATCTCATGACCACGAAACTTCTGCTCCTGAGCTACCACGGCATCTCCCCGCCTCCCAGGCCACGAATAGATGGCCTCACCGTGGGGCCAGAGGTCAAGGGCTTTTGTGTCTATCACGGATCCTGTCTGGGCCGCTGCAGGAGGCATCTTTCCTCCAAATGCGCAGATGTGGCTGCCAGAGCCCAGGAGGGGAAGCCAGAGTGTCTGGGCAGGTGCCTGAGCCCAGCTGCTCTGATAGCCCTGAACTGCAGGGGCCTGGATGGGCTAATGGAGGCAGATGGGGATCAGCTGTCTCGAGGGCTGCCTCCCCGTCAGCCCCTCCGGTGCATCCATTTCAAGTACTCCTTGGCCTCCTTATCTGTCCTCTTCACTAAGGAACCAGCCGCAGCGGGGAAGGGGGGCTGGAGACGCAGCTGGCAGAGGGTGAAGGAAGGGGGATCCTTAGCTACGCAGCATGGGCTACCCTCTTGGCCCTCCCCTGGGGTAGGAGGTTCACAGTCACAATACAACTCCGCTTTGTATATGATTTACAAAGCAAAGCACCTTTCCATACTTTTTTTTGTTTGTTCATTTTCCTGATAATCAGTGTTATGAATGATGGTAGCTTATACTCAAAGAACAATTTACAGTCGATCCCAACTACTTCCACGGATCCTCCTCACAGCCGCATGAGAGAGATTATTCCAATTTTTCAGGTTAGCAAACTGAGGCTTAGGGGCAATAACTGGCACCACAGCTGCTGCTCAGGCTTGTGGGCCCTGTGACCAACCAGCTTCACAAAGGTAGGAAGGTGAGCACCTTGAAGGCAGAAGGCACAGCACGCAGACCCACCAGCAAGCTGTGTGGGGGCCAGGGCATAGGGCCTCCTGCTGGGCCAGGCAACCACCTTCACTGGCCGGGTCACGGGGAGCCGCGTGTGTGCCCAGGGTGGCAGGACAACCTGTGTTGTTTCATAACAACTGCAGGGGATTGTATTTCTAAAACTGGAAGATTCCAAAATCTGGGACATTTCAGCTCTGAGGCTGTGGGCTGCATCTCAGTATTTTAATGGCTGTCCTACTCAGCAGCCCTGATCACACCTGTTTCCCCGGGCTCTCCGGTACAGCCTGATCGTGGGTCACCCCTACCCCTTCGGGCAAGGTGCCTGGCCTTCCTCACCGTCCTCTCCCTGCTCCTCACGCACTGAGCTCCCTGCTCGTTGTGTCTGCCAAGGCCTTCCCGGTTCCACCTTTTCCTGCTCAATGCCTGGTCTCCAAGGCCAACGTTCCCTACGTCTCTCTCCCTGTTTCCAAAACTCCTTTTCGGGGGTGGAGGGTGGAGGGGTTTCTGTGTTGAGAGAAAAATAATGCATAAAGGGAAAAACAATCAAGGGAATCTAACGGACACCAATGTGTGAATGACTCAAAGCAACCATCTCCCTAGTTAATCTCTAATTGGTGCAATTTCAAGCCTTCTGATGACGTGAAGCATGTGAGTGGGAGATTCTGTGCTGAAGAAGATTTAGCGGCATCCTTCCTGCAACTTGCAACACCCACTCCTTGTCCAGTCTTTGCTGGACCTTTAGGGTGGGGCCCTGGGTCCTAGACCCCCCCCTCTCTCTTGGTGAGGACAGTGCCCAGTCTGATGTGTGGTACCCAGCTCTGGCCTTCCCTTTGTTGCTCTTGTAGGGCCACTTGGAAAGGACAGGGGCTGGCTGGCACTGGGGAGGCCAGCAGAGCAGACACCACCGAGTCTTATGGTCCCAGGAGTGGCCTCTGCCGAAGAGCGGCCGCTGGCCTGGGCCTGAGCACGGTGTCTGCTAACAACTCCAGGAGAGCTGGCTGACCAGTCTCCGTGAACACCCTTCCCTGGAAATTACCCGCTGATGCATGGAGCGGAGCCTTAAGGGATGCTGGTCCATGCCGATCAATATATAGACCTAACATCCCCTAGAAGGGAGCTGATTTATAGAAGAAGGAGAACATACATCATGCTTGGAAAATTTAAAATAGCTCTCTTCTTAGAGAATGAATGAAAAATTCATTTCTACACTCCATCCTCTGAGTCCTCTCAACTTGCTGTTGTATAAATTTTTAAAAAGTCTGACAAGGTTCATAAATTTTATGACCTCCCCCACCCCCCACCCAGGAAGTATTTTGGTTTCCACTCGGCAGCAGAAAGGGCTGCTTCAAGGAAGGGACCCAATGCGTCACTATGGAACCAGCCCTACCGGGAGCGATGGCAGAGGACAGCCGAGAGGCGGCAGTGGGTGGTACCACGCCCCCCTCCTCCCGGCTTGGAAAGTCTATCTCGCAGGTGTGGCTGAGAACACAGCCCATCAGGCCTGGTTTTACTGAGCAGCTGGGAAGGAAGAGCAGAGAAGTGCTGAGCTCCCTTCAACCCTCTTTCCATCCTTCCTCCCAGGCCACATTCGCTGACTCATCATTGTAGGGATGGCTGTGTATCCGTGTGATGAGGTCACAGATGAGGTGACTGACTCAGATCTGTCTGGCGGGAGCATCACTGGACGTGGGTTCTCACAGTAGAGATTTCCAGGCAGAAGAAGGAGGGATGGGGAGAAGAGAAGAGCAATCCGGGCCGTGGGGCATCAGGAGGGAGGCATGGGAGGTGAGAGGGATATGGCAGGTAAGACTGGGAGGCCAGTGGGCCAGTGGGCCAGAATGAAGCTGGGAAGAGGAGGGGCATGGTTTGGGGGCCTCCAATGTCAAAAAGGGGGCTAGACTTTATCCTGAACTAATTTTTACTTTTCTAGAATTAACCAATCCCTGAGATTAAAAATGGATATGTGTGTGTGTGTGTGTGTGTGTGTGTGTGTGTGTGTCACACACACACACACACACACACACACTCTGGGAGAGTATGTTTTTGAACACTAGATGTTAGCCCTTATATTGTAGCTGATTTATGATAAGAATTGTCCATGCTCCCACCCTCACTTCGGATTGCTTCACTTACGCCACAGAATACACACCAGAGAGGAAGAGCAAGGGGCATAGAGAGAGGTAAAACCTAAGCTGGTAACATTTGTCATTTCCAGCGGGAACATGAATGACTATGATTTCAAGCCATCTAGTTGTAAACAGAGAAGAGAATGGGGGCAGGAGGTGAAATCTGGAATGATGTTTGACCATCTCTCCCCCGATGGAGACACTGGGTTACAGTAAGGAAGAAAGTGACTGCATGACTGTGTGTGGGTGTGCTTGTACAGTATGGGTCAATTGAGAAAGTTTACATACATCCATGTGTATATGTGTGATACACACACATATTCACACATGTCTAACACGCATATGGTATTTTCCAAAGTGCTGGTACGTCCATTATCCTTTTAAACCCATACAGCTACCTGGT